GGGCGGGCAGACGGAGGGTGTGCGAGGGACCGAGTAAGCAGTGAGCAGATATCAGCTGTGTCACAGATCGGCCGGTACCTCTCTTAACCTACTCACCCCATCGCACCCTGAGCACATACTGAAATTCAAGCAGATGGGCCCGGGGTTTGTGGAGTTTTGTAGTACACCCACCCCCACTCCCCAAGTTCCTGGTAGTGCAGCTGACATGTGGCAGATGCCGCCTTTGGTTTTTAACCTGAATGGAGAGGGCATGGGGTGAGTTAGAGGGAATTCTTACTTAACAACTGTTAGTGCATTTCGTTTTCATCGATTCCATGCTTTATGTTAAAAGCCATTTTTAATCCCCATTTTAGAGTAAAAGCCATTTGGTTACAAACAACCTGTAAATTAGGCATTGTTTTCTGTGCTTTTGTAACTTTTCAACACTGACAAATGATGAGCATGAGAAGATCAGTTTGTGAACAGAAATCCAGCGATAACGTGGCTCGGCTCTGTACATCCATCTCTCGGCAAGCTGGATGCTGTTTCAGAGCAGTTACTAAGTGTCCAGCCCAAAGCTCCTACTGATAGTAAATACAAAGACCCACGCATCCCATGCTTTTTATTTTGCCAACACAAGGTGTTTGAAAGAGAAAAACAAAACAAAGCGGCTAGCCTTTGTCTGAAAGGGCACTTGCAGTGTGCTCCTTGACCCCCCTTTCTCCAATACTCACACGGGTGCTTTCAAGAGTTTGTGGAAAATTGGAATTGAACGATAACAGATCTTTTTCCACAAACTTTTTGAAGCCCTCTTGTACCAGTGTTCTCATTTGGAGCGTGCCCTTTCAAACTCCGTGTGATCTGCTATTTGTTGCATTGACTCTATGGATGAAAATTATGGTATCATGTATTTATTATGATGTATTTAGTGGACCTGCCTCCCACTTTATCCTGCGTCTGACTCTCCCCCAAGCCGAGGCATCGGGCCAGATGAATGGCCCCATTCTCTCCTTCCAGACACTCTGCAAGAGTTGTCTTTCCGTGTGTTCTCCAGATGTGCATCCCTACAGAAAAGCTTCGCGCCGACAGTCATCTGTAATGGCCTCTGGTAGTCGGACGGCATTCAACCAAGGGCTCAAGTAGAAAGAAAATGTTTTGAAAATGCTGATGGCAACATACATACAAATGTGCTTGACGTGACGGATGGATGGGTTGTGATAGGAGCTGTATGATCCCCCAATTAAATGGTTAAAATAAATAAGATATTAAAGCAAACCACACAAGTTACATCTTTCATATGACACAATTTAAAATCAAAATAGACTTGAGAGGCACGCTTCTCATAAAATACGCTGTATATGCAGTGCTTATATTAATTATCAAGCTCGGCTGGTATCCTGCTTTGTGTACACTAGATGGTGACTCCTTGTAATTTCCCTGTATTTCCTAAGTACGCGTGGCTCAGAGCACATAGCCAGTAAAGGTGGTTAGATCCAGAATCCTGGCCCAGTCTCTCTCAAACCTGAGTCCAGGTCTTTAACAACTGTGTTCTATTGGGTCTACCAGTTGTGTGCCTACCCCCATGAAAAGGAAACCACAAGTTTTGCCAAGTAAAGAAACACACTCACAGAGCCCTCGGCTATCGCTCATGCCCTGGCAGCCTGGCCTATCTCCCTGCGCCACAGGGTTTCTGCCGTCCGAGTAATGTGTTGACTTTAGAAGAGGCAGGAAAGCACTCAAGTGCAGTGGGGAACGTGGAAGGCTGTGGTGCTACGGAAACCCTCTCATTCCCGCTGAGTCAGTGAATTGCGTGACAGTAATTGGTAATCATTTCCGCCTTCAGGGAGCGCCTCCTCCACTCAGGAGACCACAGTTCACCGAGCATCTAACATGTCCACTCCAGACACTGCAGCTGCAAAGCTGGATGAGGCAGACATGGGTGGTGCCCTCACCAAGTTGGGTCAGGGGAGGAAACTACAAGGATAGAGTGCGGGGTACTCTCATGCAGGCATGCATCAAGTGCAATAGGAACACGTTAGGGAATGCCTGGCACGACTTGGGGAGAAAGGGGGCTGGCAGGAAGGCCTCACAGAAGAGGTGGCTTGTAGACACCTCTTAAAGCATGAGGAGATATTTACCAAGAGAGCGCTGTGTTCCAGCCAAGAGAGGAGACGGTATAGACAGTATAAAACCAACCTCCCTGCTGTCGCGTTGCTTCCAGTGTACTTAGGAGTTGCGATGTAGCTGGAGTTTAAGTGAAACATGCGGGTGGAAGTTGGAAAGAGAGAGAGAGACTGAGAGAAAGGAAATGAAAGAAAGAAATGAAAGCCCGCAGTGACCCCGTCAGGGAAGGAAGAGACCCAGAAGAGGAGTCGTTTGCAGCTGAACCTGGTTTACTTAGAACCTCAGAATTTATTCTTTTGCCACTCCACTTCCGTCCTGCGTTTCCATTCCTCTCCTCTCTTACCCCTTCTTCCTTCCTGCCTTATGAACTTGGTTCTTCAGCGAAGGCTGCTTCTTTCATCGGGGGTGGTTGATTATTCTAAAGGTGCCCCACCATTCTCCGGTCTCGTCTGCTTCTCGCTGCCAGCAAGGCTACTCTGGCACATAGCAACCCTTGCAGGGCGGGGTAGGCCTGCCCCTGCGGGTTTCCGAGGCTGTCTGTGTCAACGGGGGTCGAAAGCCCCATCTTTCTCCCGAGGAGGAGTTGGCAGCCCAGCACGTCAGCGCTACACAACCAGGGCGCCTCCGAGTTACTGTAGAACTTTAGAATTTCTGGAAACTTCAGAATGTAGAATTTGAAGAGATGAAAGGTATAGGGGAAGGCCCTAGGGTGAGTGGATGTAATGGAATATGAGGACTAGGTGAAAGTTAGATCTTTGGCCATAGAGGTACTGTCAACCCCAATGTTACCCCATACATCTTGAGGTGTCCCAGCTGCAGGGAGGCAGGTGAAGATTGTAACTCGGGTATCCAGTGAGTCGTGAAGGATCGTTAGCTAACAAGAGTGCGAGAGATGGTGAAGTTCATAGGAGCGTGGAGTCAGTGCTGGGTCGGGAAGAAGGAGCACCCGGGAAGCTGAAATGGGGAATTAGGAGGATGCCAGATCGATGCCAGTGGAGCCCTTCCCAATGCCTAAGCAGAGCCTAAGCTGTGGCCACTGAAGCAGACTGGAGGCCATGTTTAAAGAACTCCCCAGAGGATAACAAACCCAGGGACAAGGGAACAACAAGCGATCCAAATTGGTGGGGAGGTGGGTGTGGGAGACCTGGTAGGGCAGGATCAAGGGGAACGT